TTTGATTGTGCTAAGGTATAGGTCTACATTCCATATTTTGTGAATTGAAAATTGAATGCCTTTCTGAAAAAACTACATTTTATGACTGATGCAATATCAGTGATATTAAAAATTGTTCTTGATTTAGTGCTAAATGATACAATACACCGAATCAATAACCACCTATCCATCTTCCAAACTCTTATCTTGGGCAGGGTCACCCGTACCTCCTCCCAGGGCACATGGTACACGCTGGAAGGCATGCCAGATCATCACACGGCACACACTACAGGCAACTTGTAGATGCCAATCAGCCTGGTCACATGTCATAGGATTGCAGCAGGATTCCCACACAATGTGGAGAAAACAAGCAGACTTCACATATGCAGAGAAAGGATTCAATCACTGGACACAGAAGGCGTACAGTACCAGTGCCACCTAACATAACACTGCGCCACCCAACCAAAGAGCAACCATCCGTTAAAAGCAAACAGAGGAAGCAGTTGGACTGCTTACACGAGCGAGTAGCTTCACAACCAGCATCACACTACTCATTTAAGCTATTTATATTTTTATAGCCTATTTAATCAATTTATTTAATTACATTATATAAAATGTGAGAGAAAGAGTAGCCAGTGAGTTTAACTGATATGTAACTGACACGTTTTCTCTTTATTTTACCATCCATATTGTATTCTGACATGGGTGTAGACATTAGTCATTTTAATAATTTATTCATTTCACTGCATTAATATTTATGTGACAAATACAAAATGCATGAAATGCAGACTTTAAGGCAATTTAAGGCAGTCCAGCTGAAACACAATTCAGTCTATCTTCATTGTATAGGGTTACTGATCCGTACCTGTATACAGAAGGGTGTGGGTTCAAATCCTACGGCTGATGGTGTAATCACTGTTGGGCCTTGGAGCGAAGCCCTTAACCGCCAGCTGCTCCGGGTGAGGTGAATGCTGACTGAGCCTGCTCTCTGAACCGTGCCAGTACGTCACTTTGCCCAAAAGTTTCTGATAAATAATTAAACGCTCCAAAGTTATAGGTGATGCAACGGACGAAGATCCACAGAAATTTCACCTTCTGTTTGAAATCCTGGGGGTTTTTGTTCCACGTGCGTAAGGAGGAACCCAAATATTTTGATGTGACAGCTGACAGATACGTTAATGCGCTTAAACTTTGCTCAGCCTGGACATGCGATATAACACACCTCTGCAAAACCAGTGTTGGATTGTAATCCATCACAATTACTGAGAAAAAACATGCAATTAAATTAGTTACTAAATTAAAATGCTGGTGGTTATAGAGGGTTATATCCAAATATATTATTTTAGGTAAAAAAGCTTATACGTGGAATATAACATTCATTTTGTTACTTTGCATCAATTTGTCATGCAGAAACGCCTTCTTTTGGCATATTGGCAGACAAAGCCATTGGGACTTTGGGCGTAAAAAGCCGATCTGATTTCCCCTCAGAGATACGTCTAAATGCTTGTAGCCTTAGGACACACACCATAAACAGATGTGAGGGTCATGTGATGGTTAGTTTTTCAGCAACATATGTGCATTGGAGTGGTGGAAATATAATTACTGTACTTTACACTGAAGGAAAAAAAGCAGCCAGACTACAGAGTAGTATGTAGGGTTAGTGCTGATTTTCTTAAGTGTGAACACAGTAACTTTTATACAAAACGAGATGTTTTCAGACTTGTATTTTTCTAAAGTTTGGTACTATTACTACTTAAACCTTATCTTTGCTCCATTGTGTATTTGGTACTGGAGACTTATGCATACTTTTTGACTAGAAATGGTAAATTGGAGCATGCAGTAATATTTTTAATCATGGATTTCTTTATTATATTAAATTTGGCAACAGACTGCACAATTTGCACTTTAAATATATTTCTGTTAATTTTTGTGAAAGCTGTTATTGAATAAAACTAAGAAACAGACTTTTGTAAAGCCTGCTGGGGGTGTATTTCTTCCTGTAGTAAAGCACATAGCTTTTGCTTGAGCAACATGATCATGTTTTCCCATTCTTAGCATACTCAAACAATGCCACTACAACACGAAATGCAGATAGTTTCCCATGTTCATTGAAGTGTATTGATACAAATATATATTTTAATGCTTAGTAATTGATAAAGGGGAAAAATATCAGACTGGTATCAGAATTGGCAGATACCCAAAATTTTAATATCAGTATTGGGATCGGACAAGAAAAAAAACGGTCTTGTGCCATCTCTACCTATCACATTTCATAAGATACCATGCCAACACTGCATTACAGGACATCAGCCTGACGTTAATGTACAAGGCTTTGAAGAGTTCATTGGTTGCTGAGTAAGGAACCCAAGATCGTGCTTTGGTAGTGGTGCATGACAGGAAAAATTCCAATCGGCAAACTCTGGACAATATCCGTGCCAGAGCGACATCAGTGATGAACTTTAAGTGTTAAGAAAGCTGAAGGTTAATCTTAATCTAGGATCTGCTTACCTTTGCCTTACAGGCAGACGAACCACACATGGAGGAAAGCTGTAATCCACAAGTCCCTGCTTCAGTCTCCTGCCTTTGCAAGTGGCCTGGGATTAAACTCATACAGTCTGATGCAGTAAATCATCCCAACTAAAGTGGTCAAGTAACAGCTTTGCATATGAAGAAATAATAGGTGTGTTTTTTTTCCTTAATTATTCATTACAGGGAAGAGTGTAAATGTATTTTGCAGGTTTTAAACTTTCATGTGCAATCCAAAAGTAGTTCTAAGAGTTCAGCTAAACATGTGACATTCTCAATTCATACTCCTGAGTCAGAATAGATGTTTCTTCAGTACTGATACTGAACCTTCTACAGTACTGATACATTACTACTGACGAATACCTTGTGCATAATTCACTGGAATATCTCTGTCAGTGCACATCACATATGCAGGAACTCTGACACATTTATAAATCATAAAGAGTATGGCAGACATTACATCATGTACTATGTTACATTGATTTATTTAGCATATGCTTTTGTCCAAACTGATGTATAATTAAGAAAGTAGGGTCAGCCTGTCTGCAGAGATATTAGGGTTAAAGGCCCATTTTAGGGGCCCAACAATGAAATCATTCTACTAACCACGGGATTTGAACATGCAACTTTCCAATGCTATAAGTGGCAAGTCAAAAAAACCAAGCATTTTGTAAGCTTGAAACGTTTTTCCCCATCCGGTTTCTTTTGACCAATACAAGGTTGGTCTGACAACAGTAAAGGGATTCTGGGAAAAATTACGTACTTGCCGGAAGCAATTACATTTGGCACTAGAAACTTATTCCAAGCAGTAGGATTAAAGTGTTGGATTCAAATAAAGTCATAAGTGGTGTATACAGCAAATTCTAAAGCTCAAAACAAACAGATAAAATATGATTTAAACCAGAAGAGCTTTCATCACAAATGTCAACAAATCTAAGTTTAGCAGAAGCCTGACTTAAATAGAAAGTTATCCTGACAAACGTGTCAACATTCTGAAACACAAAGTGCACTTGAGTCCGTCTAGCTCCTTCACCTCAATTGAGATATTTGTTTTTTTAAATTTAGCAACATAATATATTTTTCAAGCAGTGTTAGATGAAGCTTCACCCCCCCCCCCATCTGGAAAACTTCTCCTTGGGGCCAAGGCGCATATGTAGAGTGCGAGAAAAAGTGACATTGGCTGGCTGCGTCCATCCCCCCAGAAGATGGCTCTGGTTTCAAACTAGCACTATTGTCTCACACATCCAGGGTTGGGGTCCCAAGTACCTCCACTCTGTACGTGGAGTTTGCATGTTCACTCAGTGTCTTGCAGGTTCTCTCCCGCAGTCCAAGACATGTAATTAGACTAATTGGTGCCCCTGAATTGCCTGCAGTGTATGTGCCTGCGATGGACTGGCATCCCCTTTGAGCTGCACTCCAGACTCATGCAGCCTGGAATAGACTCCAGGAGACTCCAGGCGAGTCTGTCTCGACCAAAAGCAGAGCAAGTTCAAAATATTTTTTAACTCAAATTGCATTTGAGAAGAAAGTAAAACATTTGTTGTGACACGATTAAGGATAATTTAACTAAGCTTTTTTATTTACCTCAAGATAAACTCGATAGAAGCCAAGACAAATATTATGAAAGGAGAGTCACTCTTCTTTGATATACGACTCATTTTATCGGTTACCTCTACTCTAGTCCCGCATGGGGCTGCAAGATCCCTGTCATCATAACAGCGTACCGAACGACCAAAAAGCCCCCCTGCAGCACCGGAAAGGAAGTTACGGGCTAACCTGATATTTCGATATATCGTTTAGTTTCTTATGGTAAAGCCATCAGAAAGTATATGCGCGAAGAAGCAAACTGAAACCAAACGTCACATGAACCGGCCAACCTAATCATCAGCATATAACTTTTGTTACATATTAATTACTTAATTCTAGAATTTGTATCTGTTTAAATTATTTAATTCTATAAACATCCACAATTTATACCTCAAGCTGTTGAATCGAAGATATTGAATCATATATGTAAATAGGCAAGTTTAGTTTACTTTTGACATGGTGAACTTTCACTGAGGGCCATTCTTGCTATTACTTACTTATTAGCTATTACCGACTTTTCTGACAAACGCCATCTGCTAACACAATTAGAACCAAAGCAAAATTAAATCAAACACGCTGCGCTGGCATAAAATAATAGTAGCATAATAGTAATAATAAAAACTAATTATCATATCATCGCAGGACTTATGTCCCTTATATAATAAAGATGACACCGGAGTCTCGTTGTAACATTTACTCACCACAGTAAGCAACACTAACGAATCAAGTAAACAAGTCACTTTTACTTCACAATATACTGTACCACTCAAATGCGCATCGCAAAGGGCAGCCTTCTAACTGTTGACAATTTTCCTTTTTTTATATATATACTAAATATATTCATAAATATGTACACTTTTATATATTAAACCCGAAAAATGTAGCAATGAAAAATAAAGGTCGCGTACCTTGCTGAGTTACCAGAATGACGACTCCCATGAAGATGACACAGCGGGCAGTGTTCATGGTTGTTCAGATTGAAGACACTCTCAGCTTGCGTGCAGCCTCGAGAATGGAGCGCTTTCCGCGTCCCAGCTCCCTTTGATACCGTCCCTGCTGTCAGCGGCGAGCCTCCTTCTACTTTAATCAGGCTGTCTATTGGTTGCAAGTTACTCATTGTTCATAGGCGATTTCTAGGACGCAAGCGTCCAGATGTTTATATGGGATGTATTTTTTTTAATCGACACGCATCAACAGGTCTTTTGTTGGGGGCTTGGAATCCGAAACTGAAAGAAGCATCGCTTCCCCGGACAAACCCGTTAATACTGCAATGACCATGCGGTCTTACCTTGCGTTTGCCTTGCCAGTAAAGAGAACCGCTCTTCCTTGCGTGACGATGAGCGCACAGTTAATCCCACGAAGGTGACGTCGAGAACTCCATCCATTGCAAGCAAAAAGGTAAAACACAAGGTCGACTGGAGGACAGACATTAAGCACCTATAAGGCTAAGTGATAACGGGGAATATATTCATCAATCACAAATTGAAAGAAATGAGCAGGGGCTGCTTCAAAGTCTTTGTGAATGAATCAGCAATGCAAAACAATTTCAGACCTCTACCAATTATTTAATATTTTCCACAATCACCAGTGTTTGAAGTGGGCCAGTACACACTGGCATGCAGTACCAGCACCTCTTTGTTTTTTCTTTAGAGTTCGGACACCTCTCAATATCTGAATCTACTGAATAACAAGGGGAGTACCAGCATCTGGTGCTGAATAACAAGGGGAGTACCAGCATCTGGTGCTGAATAACAAGGGGAGTACCAGAATCTGGTGTTGAATAACAAGGGGAGTACTGGAACCTGGTTCTGAATAACAAGGGGAGTACTGGTGCCTGGTGCTGAATAACAAGAGAAATACCTGCACCCGGTACTGAATAACAAGGGGAGTACCAGCACCTGGTACTGAATAACAAGGGGAGTACTGGCATCTGTTACTGAATAACAAGGGGAATACTGGCACCTGGTGCTGAATAACAAGGGAAATACTGGCACCTGGTGCCGAATAACAAGGGGAGTACTGGTACCTATGTCAAGCCTTGACAATCAGTGATGCATACTGCTTTTCTCTAGCTCAGTACTTTAGAAAATAGAATGTGGTTTAATATGTAGTCATCATGTGAAAATGTATTTGCTCTGGGGAATAATCAAATTGGAAATGAAAAATATGACCTGATTACTGAAACTTACAGTAGCATATCACAATAGCGTAAAAATGTATACTTACTCTAATGCAAAAAAATGGGAAAATGACATCATTGAGTAGTGTGTTTCGTCTGTCAAAGTGGTATTACATTTCTTAGTTTTTCCCATGAAAAATTTATGTGAGCATTAAGTATTAAGCATTGTTGTTTCACTCAATGAACTTCTATCAGTAGGAATTGAATTTCTTACGGTTTTTCAAGTGCAAAATTTATGTGACCATAAATTTTTGTGCAAAGCGTTATTTATGCAAGAAAGATGAAATGGAAAATATTGTGTATTGTTGTCTTTGTCATGACAGCCTGACCGTTAATCTGTTATCCAAAGTGGGTTGATTTCAATGGAAAAGCAACATGGAGGGATATGTCTGCTATTACAGCTGGAGTTTAGTTGACTGTGAAGAAACATATGTCAGACTTCTATAACATGGTAGCAAAAGTCTCCACTTCAATTAACATATTGAACTTTTAGTTAGGGTGGGAAGGCAGGTCTATCAGCAGCTGTTCATTGGGCAAAAAAAAGACATTATTTTCATTTTATACAGGAGTAACAGTATATCCATGCAAAAATGTTTTTGTCTCTCCAGGTCCCGTGTCCCCGGTCTCGACGCGTCCGTCGCCTCCCCTGGGGCGCGCCCGGAGTGCGCGTCTTTGGGGGTGGTTCTGTCATGCCCCGATCGTCCACTCCTCTCGTGTGCCACGCCCCCTCATTAACCCCATGTGGATTCCCTGTGTTTACCAGCTGTTCCTGATCGTTGTCAATTAATCCATTGCATTTAGTCTGCGTTTCCGTTTGTTTCCCCAGTCCGGTCATTGTATTGTCAATGTGTTATTGCCTGCCCTTTTGTTGGATTTCATTTTATACAGGAGTAACAGTATATCCATGCAAAAATGTCTAGTATTCACCAAACAGTTCATTAACTTCACGTGTCTTGATGTGTGTTAACCCGGAAAATAAATCCCTGTTGTGCATATTCACGGCTTCCTTCGCCTGCTTCCGCGTTTATCGCATGACGTCAGTAATATCAAAAAATGTTAGTTGAACTCGGTGAGGTGAACAAATCAGCAAACCGATTAAAGTTGCAAACATAATCTGTTTTACCGCAACCGAACAAAACATCAGTGTCAATATTAATATGCATAACCCTATATTCCGTCAATTTGCTAATCATATTCAAATAATCAAAAATACTACATAATAACTTATATAACTTGGTCACAATTTATTGCATGCAGGCTGTATTTTGTGCATTTTAATATTGTTGACACTCATGTTTGGTTCGGTTGCGTCAAGATATACAGTACTATGTGTTCCACTTTACTCGGTTTGTTGATTTAATTGTTCGCCTCACCAAGTTCTCCTAACATTTCTTGTCATTACTGACAGCTATTTATTGTATTTATTGTACCTGTGTATACCTGTTTTATTATTGACTACCGATAATGAAGGAAAAAAGTATTGTTCATGGCGCTTCAGCTCTGTCGCGACCATTCACACGGACTATACCTCAGCCTTAATGTCAAAGTAGTGCGCGGCAGCGTTGTATTTACTCCTTCCAGTAATATTAATTGCAAGGCTATTGTATCTTACTGTACCCTAATGCCAGGTCTAGCAAACATAGTATGGCGTGCTGAAATAAACCTCTTACAACATGACAGCTATACGCAGCTAAGCTATTCCTTCCAAATAATAACTTGTGCGCAAAAGACAATTATTTATAAATGTATGAATATTTTTTCTTTTTCAGTAGACACAGTCAGTCTAAGCTTAAGTAACCAATTTAAAGCTAAATTTGGAGAGAAAAAAATCAGTGGTCGAATGCTACCGTTGTTGTTTGTTCTACCCACTTTTTTCTTTCGACAAAGCTAAACACCCTCCCACTGACAAATCCAGGCTGTGCGTGGAGATCATGTGATATCAGGTACTGCCTCCATGGCGTAAGTTTGCATAACGTCATGTCCGGACTCTCTTGTGGAGATCACGTGTTTCCGTCCCTCTAGTGGAGATCCTCCTGGTGGAGATCTGCAGCCAGATGCTCTTGGCTTCTCCCAGCTGCAGACGCCTGTAGAGTGGAGATCCACCGGAAATACGTCATCTCCACAGGAAACACGTGGCCTCAACTCTGTGTCACAGCGAATAAACCCTAACCTTAACCTTAACCCTAACCGGAACTCCACTTTACGTCCTTAAAGATCACATGTTTCCAGTGGAGCTCCACTCTACAGGCGTCTGCAGCTAGACCCTCTTGGAGAATTTGCACTCGCAGGTTGGTATTTGCAGGAGGACTTGGATTTGCAATACAGGTTTTGTACTTGAAAACCATTCCATCTTTGTAAAAAATATTTTTATGAAGATGTTTGGTTTCGCATTTCCAAAAAATATTGACTTGCATTTCCAAAATATCTTTTTATGCGAATGAAAATTGTGTTCAAATTTCTTTTTACGAGTGCAAATTGGAAAGTACACATACAAGTACATATGGCACTATTCTGACTCCATACCTGTACATCTAACCGTAATGCATTGCGTCAGGATCAGAATGCATTGCTTTAAGCCAGCGCTGTAAGCAAGTGGAACGCACCCAATGACCGGACTGGGGAAACAAACTGAAACACGGACTTAATACAGAGGACTAATAACAACAACCAGAAACAGCTGATCACATGGGGATCCCGCACGAGGTTAACAAGGGGGCGTGGCACACGGAAGGAGCGGACGATCGGGGCAGGACAGGGATAAGATCTTTATCGTTTTGGAAGCCATTAAGAAAAAAATGCTCTTCTTGTTTAATCCTATTCATTTTGTGTTTAAATGCAAAAAAAAAAAAAAACATATTTAGGTGTAATTTTAGGGGGCCGGGAACCAATTAATTGGTTTTCCATTATTTCTTATGGGAAAAATTCGATCAGAACTCGAACTTTTTAGGATTCTATCCGGAGTCTGAGGTACCACTGTATATACACACAAACTCACACACAAACGGTTGCTGCAGCGCCCCCCGAGGTTCCTGTGGCACCGCCAGTGCCCCCCGAGGCTCCTGTGGCACCGCCAGCACCCCTGAGGTCACTGCTCTCGCCCCCGAGGTTCCTGTGCCTCCAGCTCCAGCTGCACTACCTCCTGCGGTGCCCCCAGAGGTGCCTGTGCCTCCAGCTGCTGCGGCGCCCCCTGCTGGCCTGGAGGCCGCTGCTGCTGCGGTGCCCCCTGCTAGCCTGGAGGCCGCTGCTGCTGCACCGCCTGAGGTCCCGGTCCTGGCATCCCCTGTGCTCCCTATGTCTCCCGAGCTCCCCGCTCAGCTCCCCGCGGCTCCCGAGCTCCCCGCTCAGCTCCCCGAGGTTCCGGTGGCCCCTGCGGCGTCCCCTGCGGTTCCAGGTCACATGGCTCCTGATCTGGCGCCCCCTTCTGAGGAGCTGGCCCTGGCTCCGCCCACGCCCGAGGTGCCCGCTGAGGCGCCCCCTGCTGGCCACACGCCCGAGGTGCCTGCTGATGCTGCCGCTCTGCCTGCTGCCGCCGCTCTGCCCGCGGCCCTGCCGGCTTCCGCCGCTCTGCCCGCGACCCTGCCGGCTGCCGCCGCTCTGCCCGCGGCCCTGCCTGATGCCGCCGCCCTGCCCGCGGCCCTGCCCGTCCAGCCCGGCTCGCCTGTCCAGCCCGGCTCGCCCGTCCTGTCCGTCCAGCCCGGCTCGCCCGCGGCCCTGGTTGCACCGCCTGTGGCCACGCCCGCGGCCCTGGCTGCACCGCCTGCGGCCACGCCTGCTGCCACACCGGAGGCCCTGACTCCAGTCCCCCAAGCCCTAGTCCCAGTCCCCAAGGAGGTCCCAGTCAGCCTGACCACCGCTCCTTCCTCCTTGGAGGAGGAGGAGCTAGAGTGGGACCTCCCTGATGACTCTCTCTCCCTTGCCCCACCGTGACCGACGCCCCTCGAGACCCCGCCTGTCAGTGTCGCCTCCGGGCCCTCCCCCGGTTCCTCGGTGCTGGTCCTCGGCCTCTCCTCCGGCTCCGTGTCGCCCGCCTCCGGGCCCACCTACTTTGGCAGGGCATCGGACGGCGCCTTCGCCGGCTTCCCCTCCACCTGCTCCGGCTTCCCCCTCCTGCCTGCCTCTGCCGGTGGTCCCTCCTGCTCCCTCCTTGTCCCCTCCGGCTCTCCCTCGTCCCATTCCCTTGGCCCCTGTGGAGTTCCCTCTGGCTTCGGCCTCCCTCCCGCCTGCGGCCCCTCCGGCCGCTGCCTGTCGCCTGCCTGGGCTCCTTCGGGCTCCCTTTTGTCCTCCGTCCCTGCCTGTCTGGTCTCCCCTGTCTGCTGCTCGTCCCTTCGTCCCTCCTGTTTCTGCTCCTCCTCCTCCTGTGGGTCCTGTGTTCCCTCCTGGCTCTTTTGTTCCGCCTGCTTGTGTTCCCCCTGTGTCTCCTTTCCTGGTCTGTTTGTCGGCGTTTCCCGTTCTTTATCGGTTCCTGTCCTTCTTCTTGTCTCTGTGCCTGTTCTGTGTTTCCGTCTTGTTTCCTGTGCCCCGTTGATGTGTTTTGCTCTTGTTTTTGTCTCTCCAGGTCCCGTGTCCCCGGTCTCGACGCGTCCGTCGCCTCCCCTGGGGCGCGCCCGGAGTGCGCGTCTTTGGGGGTGGTTCTGTCATGCCCCGATCGTCCACTCCTCTCGTGTGCCACGCCCCCTCATTAACCCCATGTGGATTCCCTGTGTTTACCAGCTGTTCCTGATCGTTGTCAATTAATCCATTGCATTTAGTCTGCGTTTCCGTTTGTTTCCCCAGTCCGGTCATTGTATTGTCAATGTGTTATTGCCTGCCCTTTTGTTGGATTAAACCCCATGTTCCCCGATTCACGGCTTCCTTCGCCTGCTTCCGCGTTGTATTGTGACAATATTATGGATATCTTCAGTCATGTGAAAAAATTAGGACACCCCATTAAATATTTCTGTATTAAGACATACCAACAAATCAGTATTAAATCTTCTTTCAAATTATATCTGTAGATAAAGGTGATGTAATTGCATCATCTATGGATGTTACCAATGTCAAATTCTTTTTAGTGATCAACTCCTCCATAATGTCCTTGCTGCTCTGTTGCAAAATATGGAATGGCTGTGTCCGAATTCAAGGACTGTATTTTGTAAAGGACGTGGTCTACGAAGGTGTAGCCTTTATTTTATTTTTTGTTGTATTTCTGACAGTCGTTGAGAATCCAAAGCATAGCAATGTTTCTTGTTCTCTCTTTGCAGTGAATATAGCCACTTCATTGCAGGAGGAAACTCTTATGGTGGCAAATGACTACATGGACTTTTGCATTGGAATAAAGAGGACACCTCCCAGCGAGTCCGCTAAAGCCATGCGATACCTGGCAAAGGACGTTGAGAGTATTTATGGGTTCAGACTGCGCCCACTTGTGCAGTTGTTCTTGGTCAGCAGTGGCTTTGATACCTGGACCAAACTCAGGAATATGATGCTGGAGGTTATTGGAGGTGAAATGATGAGCTGGGGACAGATTGTGTCTCTCTTCGCCTTCATGGGAATACTGGCAGTTCAACTGTCTACTGGGGAAGAAGATGTCACCTGCAGTAGACGGCTAGCGGAGATGATGACAGATGTTCTCATTGGAGAAAAACAAGAATGGATGATCCAAAATGGAGGCTGGGTAGGTGCATGTAATTTTGTAATTAAAAACTGCTCCTTTTATGTACAGTAGTTTCCTGTTTCTTCTGTACCTGCTTGGGTGTCCCCCTCCTCTTTGTCTCAAAGGTTGCAACTGGCATTTATCCTCTCTCTGTCTCTTGTGTAGAGGGGGTTCGTGGACTATGTCCACACAGTCAGACCTGGATATCCAGAGTCACCTGGGAAGACAGCTCTTCTCACAGCTGCAAATGTGGCAATTGCAGGGATTGCCAGCTCCAAACGCTCCTCGTGCGTGTCACGCCCCCTCATTACCTCCTGTCGGAATCCTGATTGTTGTCACCTGTTCCCTATTCCGTTTGCCTTGTCTCTTGTATTTAGTCCTAGTCTCAGTCAGTCTTGTCAGATTAGACATTGTGATGTCATGTAACGTTCGTCTGTTTGCTTCCCCGGTCCTGTTTCCCTAATTAAATCCCCGTTATTCTGACCTCCTGGCTCCGTTTCCCTGCTTCCCTGCTTGCCTTCTTGCGCAACGTGACAATCTTCTTCTACGTTAGCGTATTACCTTTCCATGTTATTCAGAGAAATGTTTTCCTGAAAGATTTTTGATCAAGTTTTTGTTAATTTGTTTATGTACATATGGTTGACTGTTGTTTCCCCCATGACCCTTTTCTTGGAAGTTAGAAATTACCTATAGTCTGTTTGGTATATTTGTTTCATTTTATGACATTGTTGCCCTCACAGTTCTACAGTATAAAACCTTAAAAAAAATTAATAGTTATTAATTTAAAATTAATTGTTAAACAATTTCTCCCCTTTTTATGAAACTAGTATATTTTAATCTAGTAGAAGTGTATTTTAAGTTTTAAGTAAAAGTAACTTGCAATAAGAGATTTAAAGAGACTTGAATGAGAGACGTTTTACTTATATGACGTCTTACATTAAACGGGTGTGGGAATTTTCTTAATCAAGATGGCACTTTCTAATTAGGTACCTATTTAGATACTATTTAGATAGATGGGTATCTAAATAGGTATTGCATTACCTAAATTGTTAATTCACGTTGTTGTAAGTGAAATTTGGCATAACGGGGGGCAGATTGTGTATATAGGCTGATTTAATGATTTGGTTTAGGATTTGCATATCATATTATGAAGTTTGTGATTTGTGTGTATAGTTTACTAGCTAGTTTATACTAGCTGGCTAATGCAGCAAACTCGAGCAGTGAGTAGCCAACTTTCAATAATTAAAACCAAGGACACAGAGATGTTTGACTTCATAACCACCTCTTTATTGTTTTTAATAGATCAGATATCTGCTAAAAAGAACCCTATCAGGCTTGGTTCAGTCTTCATTTGTAATCTTCAGGAACATCAGTTTGCTAGACGGGACATTCTACCAGAAATATGCATTATCTGTCCTGGATTGTTACAATGAATAAAGCTTGTATTATCCAAAAAAGTCTAAAACTGACTTGATGGTTAATTTCTGTGAATGTTTCTGTAAATGAATATGTCATTCATTTGATCCTCAGATGTTTTTTCTTTATTAACACTTTTGAAAATTACAAATCCTGAGAAATGGACTGTCCCCAGCCAAATTGGGCTACATTCTTCAGTTTGTTATGATGAAATTAAGAAAAACAAATGGGCTGCCCCAAGAACACATTATTCTCTCTCTCCCTTCAAAACATCTTTCAAAATTCAGTGTAACAGAACAACAAGATTGTTAATTTAACACCGCAAAAAACTGCTGCTTCTATAAACCTGTAAATTAATGTATTCGTGTATAGAGTCTGGCTGCCGATCGAGTGTCGGGGTTTCAGGCTTCACAGAGAACTCTACATATCGGCACTTCTACAAAAACTACTAGTGAAACTTTGGAAATTAAAGGAAACAGTAAGTTTTTCTATGCCATTTTTGTTAATCGAGTGTGCTTAAAAGCGTGCCAAAATCATATGGCCTAGGTTGTTTGTGTCTATAGTATATACGAGTAATGAACAAACTAACTATGGGATATTTGAAGTGCTTATGTATGTGACGAGTAATTAATTTTTAATTTTTTTTTAGATCGTATTTTACGATGTTCTGCTTGCAATCCAATGCTGCCTTATTTAGTTAGACACGCTGTCTCGTTCCAAAAATGTTGTATCTGCCGTCGACAGTCGGGAAAGAATTTCAAGAGAAACTCGTTCGTATTAGGCCTACATAAGTATAAAACAAACGTTACGAATATATATTCAAATGAAACTGGTGATACTTAAATTTAATAATGATTAACGTAGTATTGTTTTGGCGGGAGCGAGAGAGGCTCGAGCCACACCTTTTTCTCTTGTGAGGATCGATAACTCATCTGCAAGTGAGACTTTTATTTTTTTAAGCCTAAGAAGTTATATAATTAGACAGGACATTTGGTAAGACATTTCGCAAAGCAGTTGTAATATATGTCACTCAATTTTTGTTTCATATTTCGATTTTAGAGATATTTTCATCTTTAAAAACGATTTGACTAAGGTTTGTTAGCGTTTGGACTCGTTAGCTGACTATATGATAAGCTGCTAGGTTTCCGTTTTTAACAGACGTGAGAATCTAAGGTACAATATGTTAGAGAGTATAATTCAATAAAAAAAATTTTCACATGACTTATTCAGGGTTACAAACTCTCATGTATCTGGCGACGCTGACGCTTTCAGGCTCACGCAAGAAATCTTAAAGTTTTCAATACATATAATATATATCGTTCCATTATAAACCTAAAATTAGCTACATCAAAACGTGGGGATATAGTTTGCAAACCTTACAAAAACTGTTACCTACATATCAATGCGTGTGCAGACTTAACTCGAATTTAAAATCTCACGCCAGCCAACTGACCAAAGTAGGCAACCCTGCTTATTTGTGGTATTTAGCTTGCTCTTTAGCAATTACTTTGTTGACATATCGGAAAACAGGCGTTTCAGAGCAATTTTTGGCAAACAAGAATTGCCAGACCACAATATCGATTGCCAAGAGTTGGTGAAGTAAGGAATAATGTACAGGCAGCCGGTAGTTATCGC